AATTGCGCAGGTACATCCACTCTTTATGTTCTCCCAAATTATAATCTTCTGAATCCTTCATGTCCCTTCTTTTTTCCTCTTTCCAAATTTATTTCACCGGACTATACTTCTTGAATAACATCCTTAAACCTTAATGTTTCCGATTACTGTTTGTACTCTTATCACTTCTACCACTATGGGATTTGAATCGACAACTGCATCTCTGTACTAATGTGGTATGGCAACTCGAACTGATGTATGTACGTACGAAGTTCCACGTTGTTACTGACTGACCATTATGGGATGACAGTATTGGTAGAGATTTTGGTCACTATTAATGAACGCATTGTTGCCATCACATAGCAGTACTGTTGGCAGCACAACTTAAACTTCAGACCCTTAGTATATCTCGTTTTGTGTTATCGCTCTCTAACCGACCTACCTCGCACAATAGAACCTCAATAATAAGTGTTTCAACCTATATAGTCTAATTCGATCGTCATGCTAGATAAGCATGACTACTCTGGATGCTAACTACGGTTTAAAGACAAGCTACTAATTTGAGTCTACAGAAGCCAGAAATGTGGAACGATTTCGGAGCTTTCCAACTATCGTATACAAATCAAGCTGTTTCATCGAAGCGAAAAAGGTAGTTTCCATAGATATAGAGAGTTCATCGTTTGCGTGTGGGCTGTGATACTGCCCGGGTGCCCAAACCGAAGCAGGTGGTTATCTTAGGGGCCACACCCCGAGCCTTTGACCTAAAGGTCTAACCCACAAGGCAGTAGAGCACCGTAAGGAGATGCAGTCCCATGGTAGCGGGTGACCAACGATTGGTTCATACGCCGTTTGTTCCCGCAGGATACTGAAGCCCATGTGCACCATTGTTTTGTGATCCGGTTAAAGCCCCGGACATTCGCTTTTCGCCCTCTCATTTCCGTAAACAACACCCCCGCCACGAGAAGGCAATGAGTAGGACTTCCCTGACAGAGGCTGTATACGCGTGGCCATGTGAGAGCATTTTGAGAGGAGAGCGGACTCTCCCCACTGTCGGCCGTACCAGGGCATTCGGGGGTAGGCCGACTCCTCACTTGAAGATTATTTAACAATTAAACTAAAATAAAATAAACTGTTTAACAAATAAATGTATTTGGGATACTATCATCGTATGTAAAACAGTTTAATTCTTTATCTAATGTTATTTATCTATCATTTCTTTACTATACAGCAAAATTTAGATCAGAAAACATTTTCAAAAGCCTATTATTCGATCTTTTAAGTTGATCCAATGAATATTCACAGCATAAATTAAACATATGTACTATTCGATTAATTCCTTCATCTAATCGATTTTATTCATGTAATCAGTGCCTATTAAAGTTCATTTCAGGTTAAAGAATTAGTTTAATGATTATATATATTTATATATGGATTATGAAATCATTCACCTAATAGACTTATTTTTTGATATATTGGTGTTACTCAATGTCATACACATTTCTAGGATAACAGTAAATAAGTTATCTTCTTAAAAAAGTTCACATAAGGAAGAATTTTTTGTTGTATATGAATGTGCTTTATAAGTTAAACCGCCTAAAAAAAATAAAGCCAACAATATCGAGTTTTGTAGGACCTTAAAGGAATTGAAGTTTATTTATTTAAACACATAAATATTGGTACAAAAAGGCATCAAATAGATATACGCCACACAAATCATTCAATTGCTGGGATACTCCCCGGGTGCCCAAACCGAAGCAGATGGTTTACTTAAAGGCCACACTCTGAGCCTTTGACGTAAAAGTCTGATTCACAAGGCAGTGGAGTGATGTCAGCAGATGCAGTCTCATAGTATCCGGTCACCAACAATAGGTTCATGCACCATTTGTTCCTCATGATCATGAAGTCAGCTTATGTGCACCATTGATTTGGAATCAGGACGTCCACCAACCCGGTTAAGGCGTCAGACATTCGTTTTTCATCCTCTCAATTTCATAAACAACAGTAATGTTGTGAGAAGGCAATGAGTAGGACCTCCTTGTCAGTGGTTGAATGCACGTGTCCATGTGAGAGCATTTGTAGAGGGACAGTTGACTTTTCCCACTCCCGACCGTATCAGGGCATTTGGATGTGGTGTATGTCATGTATGTCAGGTCCTTCTTAGTACAGATCGAATCCTATCGATCAAGTTGCAATGTGACCACCAGTCTAGGAGACTCAACATTGCTAATAATAGTCAGTAGAACTCAGTGAGCGTGGTTTCAGGAGACCAGGAATGGCGTTCCACGTACTCGAATCGTTTGCCCTAGCGGTGCGAGGTGATAAAGAGACGTGAGGAGGGTTAGTCGAGGAGATAAGAGAGGTATTAGGAGGTGTAGGAAGGATTTGAATGTGACCACCTTGGTCTCTTGTGCTGTTACGGGTATGAGGGCTGATATCACTTCCCGGCTGCCCACACCGTGGAAGGGTATTTCTTGTAGAACCTGAAAAGGAAATTAGATTAGTGTTGGTCTTGACGACCTGGGAGCGTGACCGCAGAGCCCAATGGACAACTGCCTGAGGCCGGTCGTGCACGGCCTTTTTGCGGAAGGTTTTTAATGTGTTAGCTCCGTTCTTCAAAGAGCCTTACCGCCGGAGACGGAAATCCGTGAGGTAACATGAGGTGTGGCATTTTTAGGGTCGACCTTTTCTAACCCCACCCCTCCTTGTGGGAAGGCAGCATCGCTGTCATGCTGGTTGTCCGAAGTAAACACCTTACTGCTGTCACACCTCTCTACAGTCAGCAGTACGACTTCGCCCTCAGACCTTGAGTTGCTGCTTTTAGTCTTACCGTTCACCAATCGACCTGCCTGGCATGGTAGAACCTGCAGGAACATATGTTCCAGCCAATATAGCTCGGTTGGGTCATCACGATAGGCAAGCCCGACCACCGCGTCAAGGTAGCAGCTTCGATCGGGGAGGATATCCGTAGGCTACTAGTATTTGATCATATATGTCTTCGAAACATTGCTCGTATATCATGGGACGATCGAGTAAGTAACACAGTTGTTAGGAAACGGGTACTAGGTAAGGATGGCAATCCATTGATGAAGTAGTGACACTTCATCAGTTGAGATGGCTGGGACACGTGTTACGTATGCCCAACGACCGACTGCCTCCACGTGCGATGTTTTATGGTGTAGGAGTAGATTGGAAGAAATCTAGGGGCGGCCAAACCAAACATGGCACAAGTCCATGAAGTCACTGAAAAGTGAACTGAGTCATTTTGGTAGGTGTAGACTACCTGGTTGGGGACCGCGAGATGATAGCAACCGATGGTTAGAGACCCTGAATGACATGGCTCAAAATCGTTTGCAATGGCGCAATTGCATCCACTCTTTATGTTCTCCCAAATTCTAATCTTCTGAATTCTTCATGTCCCTTTTTTCCTCTTCTAAATTTATTTCACTGGATTATACTCTTTAAATAACATCTCCAAACCCTAATCTTCCCGATTACTGCTTATACTCTTGCTACCTCTACCACTACGGGATTTGAATCGACAAGTGCATCTCTGTGTTAAGGTGGTGTGGCAACTCGAACTGATGTACGTACGTACGAATTTCTACGTTGTTACTGACTGACTGACTGAGAACTCAGTGAAAACTAATGCCTTCAGGATCGTAAGAATAAAATATTTTTTCATAAGTCATTGTTATTATAGTTCTATTTAGTTTATGATATATGAAAACTAACAAGAGAATTAGTTAAACAACTGGACATCGACGATGAGATAATGTAGTTGCCCTTCACATATTGGATATGATCACTAACATACCTCATTTACGCTAACGTGATTACTTAATTTCAATATCCAGATGTTATGATTTCAATTATTTTACAAGATATTATTTTCAAATAAGCCTTACTCATTATGTGTTCTAACAATTTACTGCGATTCAAGCATTATATACAAGTTTGTCTTTGAGTTATACTATATAAGAGGACTGATAATAATACTACCGGACAATTGGGATAGAAATAAGGGGAGCTGGTTTGAAGCACCATGATAACTTAAAATTTCAATTTAATTACTTATTATGTAATTTTCACAAAAGTCTAATTATGAATCAAAAATTAAACCGGAAGGAAATTTAATCAAATATTCTATCTATTGGGATATTAAAAAAGTAGCATCACTTTACTACAAATCACTCACCCAATGGTCAATTTATTTGAAATTATCAATTCAAACATTGATAATGATACGTATAAATTGATTGAACCAGAAGGTTACGAAATAACAGAATTTTGAGGAGAGTCAACTGTCCCTCTACAAATGCTCTCACATGGACACGTGCATTCAACCACTGACAAGGAGGTCCTACTCATTGCCTTCTCACAACATTACTGTTGTTTATGAAATTGAGAGGATGAAAAGCAAATGTCTGACGCTTTAAACGGGTTGGTGGACGTCCTGATTCCAAATCAATGGTGCACATAAGCTGACTTCATGATCATGAGGGAACAAATGGTGCATGAACCTATTGTTGGTGACCGGATACTATGAGACTGCATCTGCTGACATCACTCCACTGCCTTGTGAATCAGACCTTTACGTCAAAGGTGTGGCCCTCTAAGAAAACCATCTGTTTCGATTTGGCCACCTGGACAGTATCCCAGCCCTTACACAAATCGAATGATTTATATGGCGTATATCTATTTGATGCCTTTTTGTATCAATATTTATGTGTTTAAATAAATAATCCTATCCGATCACCACCCAGTGATCAATCAATTGTAAATATCATTAGCATCGTATAGAAGTGAAGCAGTTTTTTCTTTTAATCATCTGTGTTGCTTTTATTTTACCATTTGACATTGAATATTATTAAATGTTCTGTACAGGATAATATTTATATCACATGTCTACATTTTTGACCCTAATTTGTTTAATCACGTCATATTGATAATCGTTATTGCTGGTTCAAATTGTTCATAATTCGAATTAGCCTAAAGTTGAATAATTTTTGGCTTATTGATAGGTGTTCTTCTTCAATATCTGTCTATTGCGACTCGTTATTTTTTGCTAATCTACCGATGAATATAGAAGTATGTGTCCTTGGATTTCTATCAAATAGTGGATGAAATTGCTATCAATTGAATTTTGAGAACTTCTATGTAACATTTTTAATTGAGATCATGAGTCGATTGATGTTCGATCACTGTTGAAAACCTGAAAACACTGGAAGGTTGTTTCGTTCTATTGTGGGACTCCTCAGTGACAGTGCTCATTTACGATCCCGCTTCGCTCGATTCGAACCTTCGGTCTCACACGCAAATGCTTAAAATTGAGACCACTGAGTCGGCATCCAATAGTGTTAATGTCTAATCTCAGCCATAAAATTTCTTAAAACTTCCTAACTTCCAGTTATAAATGCAAGAAATCACAAGTTTTTATCGTTTTATAACTTTCATTTTACTGTATTCATGTGAAAATTGAACTAAAAGTATATAGCGGAGAAGATTAGAAAAAAATGTGTTTTGCTTCAATTTACTCTGAGTTAAACTAACTCTATGTACTACTGTATTTTTGTCGCTGTTGTCACATCGTTTCAACTGATAATTTTAATCTATACTATTGGTGTTTTTCTTTTCTACAATTCCTTGGGTGTTCATTTATTTAAAGCCTTTCATGCGTGAATTCAGTGTGACAGGGTTAAAAAAAAAATACATGGTCAAACATACTTTAAATGTGATAGTTCTTTCAAGTGTACACTAAATAATTGTTTTCATTATGACAGATTTAGGTTGTTCTGTTCATGAATTCAGTACGGATATTCATTTCTATAACATACTACTTATATTTCATATGTTAAGTTGTATTTTTTTTAACATGAATGTTTGATAATAAGTTATTTTTCGATCTGGTGGTCTTAGTCCTCTTATATTGTTATATTAATTATCTTTTCTCAGTTTATATATATATCGTCTATTGTATGGATTTAAATACGCCTACTTATAAGTAGGCGTGGGACTCTTCAGCAGTGCGCATCCGAGAGTCCTACAATAGGACGAAATGGCCGTCCAGTTCTTTCAGGTTTTCAATGATGGTCTAACATTAATCGGTTTATGATCTGAAACAATAATTTAATAATGTCCACAACCCTATATTGATAATAGTCATATAATTGTCAGAAAGAGATAAAACATAACAACATAGTAGATATCCTACTAATCTGTTAGATTATGATAATAATTAGGCTTCTTTTTGTTGTTTTATTACGTTTTTGAGTATGTGACACTTTTATATGAATTGTAGTTATTATTCTGTTGATGACTTATTCTGAGGGGGAATACGTTTTGTGGAACATTCTGTGGAAAGCATTTTCTTATTCATGATACTTTTATACTACAAAAGTTTACTGTTTCCTTGAGCGCTAACTTAAATGATTAAGAGCGATATAACATGCACTAAATACGATAATGGATAATGAATATTTGTATGTATGAGGCTGAATTGGTCTTTTTAAGACTTTAATAATGATGAGTACCAGTCATTGTAACATTTAAATATAGAATTTAATTAATTCCATTCATGTGACTTTAAACTAAATACTCTACGATGACCAATCCCTTGATTTAATGCTCATACTGCATCTTGACCAATAAAACCCAATAAGCACTAAAGTCTAAGCATCGTAACATTTATTACTAATAAGTGATAGTAATATACTGAGCAACAATGTCAGGATGTTTGAGATGCGTTTCTTCTATTCTAAATGCAAACTGTTGCTTCAGAACTGGTCTGAGTCAACATCTGAACTAAGGATAAAGAGTAAAGTAGTGAACGCGTCGACAATTTCACTTGTTTTAGAAGTCTGACCAGTTGTAATGGGTTGGTATCTGACGACATCTCTGCATGGATTCGAAAAGCTCGTTTGGCTTTTGCCAACTTACGTCACCTATGGCGAGGGAAAAATATCTGTTTATAGATTAAAGGACAGGTATATTGCGAAGCAGTTCGTTCTGTTTTAATTTGCGGCTGCGAAGCTTGGTCATTAAGGGTAGAGGATACACGTAAGTTACTAATATTTGACTACAGATGTTTTAGAAATATTGCCAGCATCTTCTGGGATCACGGGGTAAGTAATTTTAAGGTTAGATGCACGGTATTAGGGACCTCCATAACAAATTTATAAACATTTGGTCTTACGAAAGCATTTCTATTTGAAGAACATACTTCTTTCCATCCTCTCCTACAAAGTTTTCTATTATTATTATTATTATTATTATTATTATTATTATTATTATTATTTCACAGCTATTAGAATTATTCGACAGTGAAGATCCTCGTGAACGTGATCTTGTCAAAACTATTTTACATCGTGTATATGGAAAATTTCTTGGATTACGTGCATTTATCCGTAAACAATTTGGTAACATATTTTATAAGTAAGATTAATTATCATTATTATGATTAATAATGATGATATCATCAATAACAATAATGATAATAATATATAAGTTGCTTTAATCCACTTGGTATTGTTTTACTTGAATCTCCCATTGATGTTTAGGACTGCAATTGATCAGTCTGTTATTGGCATATATCCATACTGTGCGTATTGCCTCGATATTGCCTTAAGTCAAACGCTTTTTAAGCAAAGATAGATGGTGTCTAGCAGTGGAATCCAGTTTGACGCGCGCTTCGTCCTATTTGGATGGTGAACTTGTATCTCAGAGTTGATGTTAACTCTGGGACTCGACCTGTACTCTTCAAACGCCACTCGGCTATTTAGTCCGAGTCCCAGAGTGAACACCAACTCTGAGATGCAAGTACATCCAGATGACGAGTTTCAAATAGGATGAAACTTGCGTCCTGGATTCCACTGCTAGCCACCATCCATCTTTGCTTAAAATGCTTTAATCTGTAGAAGTTATTTCTCCATATACTTTGCATATATCGTATTTCGTTTGGTTCTGTTCCATACGTATAGTTTTATGTTTTACTACTAAATCATTCTCATGCTTAATTAGAGTAATGCTTTCGACGTGCAACGATGGGACATTTTGTTAGTTTATTTTTCAAAATAATGATACTGATCAGTGTCCTGTTTATTCATTTAGGTTTCTTACTTACTCCTCGTGTAGACCATAGATTGCTGATCAAGCAAGCGTTAATATTTTTTTTCAGTTGTTCTTTGTAATGGTTTCATCATCTTTGAGTAGATCTTGTAGGGTTCGGAAATATTTGCTGAGAGCAACCTTAATTTCTCTTGGTTTGTTAGCATCTTGAAAGAAGACAGTATTTAACTTTTGCAATGCTATCTATCTAAATGTCCAATGCTTTATGTGTGCATTTGTCGGAAAATATAGTCCTACCTATAACCATGTTGTTGAAGACACAGATTTTTAAATCTCTCAACATTCTTGTCCATGTTATCCCATCATATCTTCAAACCCGGTGTTGTCCATTTTGAGTTTGCCGTTTAGGTCCTCTATAGAATGGTCAGGTCTTTTTCTATCCATTCCTCTTGGATCAGTTGCAAATTCTTACATAACTGATCATTATCGTCCACGCCGGTATCGTTGATAGGTGTTTGGCACAGTGATGATAATTATGATTCCATATTTCTTTGTCTCAAAGGATGCTTAAATGATTCTTGTGCCATGATTTTCCTATCCCGATAGCACCTTTTGTTCTTATGCAGCTCCCCATGTGTAGGGGCATTTTGTGCTTCGTGACCGGAGCACAACAGAACCTCTCCCTAAATTAATCTTTTTTATCCAGTTTGTGTCCAATAAGTTCCACGTATTCGAAGCCCAGTCAGGTTGTATCTTCTCATCTCTACTACTATTTAAATGACCCTGTCAGTCCCCTTCATTGCACGGAAATTCCACGTAACTACAAATTGTTGCTTTGATTGCCAGAGGAGGCATCTGCCCCGTGATTTCTGAAGAATCTCGGCTTTCGCCATCAGGCGTCAAAACTCTTTCTAATGAGGACTCTTTACATCCTCAGTCAGATTTTAAATTATGTATAAATGATTTATCTGTTTAGTGGCTGTTATAACTTGTGACCTGAGTGTCCTGGTAATGGATAAGTATAGATACCGCCAATTAGGGAGCAGTGAATTATCGATCGGATCAATGACGTGTAAAACCCGCACGAGCAGCCTACAGTCCTGATTGGTCCTACTTTACGCCTAGCTTAGCCAGTTGAGTACAGAACGCATATCTCAGCCTCCGCAATATAAATCATTATATTTCAAAAATACTCGGTTTATATACCAATCAGACAGACCACATCGTACCAATAAAATATGAAACATTATTTGTACAAGAATTAGCCAGATGTGGCTGTGAATGAGGGAGGTAGTAATTAATATACTGGGTATAACTCAAGAATGGTAAAACGTGTAATAATAGTTTATAGGTCAAAATAAAGCTAATAATAAGAGGAATATGAATATGCATAGTGTAGTTACTTAATAACTATACAATAGAGATATACGTTTAGTATCGGTCCGTAAATGGATCCCAAAAGTTACCATTCATTATTCTTGCCGGGACATATCAGTGGCTCAGAACTGATCACAATGGCGTCGGTGTATACACTCTTTGTCTTCCTTTACACTATGAAATTAAAATCGCTTCATATCTTTCTTTCTACGAACTGATTCTTTCTTCCTGTATTTTATCCTCATACACAATCTTTTATATATTACTACCATTGAATTAACTACTTCTATGAATCCGGTGTTCATGTTGCTGACTGACTGACGAATCCTACATCTAACCTTCCTTATTTTCGCACCCATAAAACCGGTAGTAACCCTAGAGTGCTCTAAGCGAAGATATCCAGTGTTTTAGTGATTAAAAACATATGACTTAGTTATTCTGTGACACCGACTTCAGTTTTGGCAACTTGGTTATTGTCACACTAAATTAGACACAAATTTCGGTGTTCAGAATAAAGAACTCTTTAGATAAGCTACATTAAATTAGTCATAAAATATAATGCAACATCGCTTTATTCACTGAATAATATACCAAATTTAATGGTCTATGTTTTGTGTGATCACTTACTACTTAGGCTGGTTTCTTATAGATTGTGGATGATGGATTCCCAAATAACACGAAGCTCACACTTTTTGTAAGCTAGTTTATGTAGATTTGAGTTTAGCGTTTTGCGCGTTAATATTCTTCGCTTAATTAGTTTTCACTTTCCCCGCTTAAAAGGACATTGTCATTTAGTTGTTTTGGTAATGTTGTTACTGTATTTCTGAAGACCTTTTTAATATATTGGTGTGCATGATTTTTACGCTAAGTCATCCCCTTAAAATTCGGTGAAATAAATCTTCTAGTTGAAGCTTATATTCTGTCTCTAGCGAAGAGGGAAGCAAAAGTTAGGAAATGGTCTATTCATTTAAATTCGAGTCAGTAATTATCAACTTGGTGCTCAGATTTATCAACCTACCGTTTCTAACAACATTTCGATCATGCTGATAATATCAGATTTATTATATGTATGTGTGACACCGTGATAATGAGCACTGTTTTCTATTTGTTGTGTCATTAAGGCATAATTACATCTGATCTCATTTGTAGACTTTATATGTGGATGAGAATAGCCTCTTGATTCTTTAGCTTCCATTAACATTAAATAGCAAACCTTGTTGATATTCATGATGGAGTTTTTATCCATTTGAATCTTAACTCAATAATCAAAGACAATCTAACACTCTTCAATCTAATGTTAACCATATCCCCTAATAACTTCACTCAACCTCTTAAACTATGGAAAAAACAACGATAGAAGAATACAAAGATATACGCTTTCTAGGATTTCCTGGTTAGTTAGCCTTTCAGAGTACAAGTATACTGTGACACCTTGTTCGATAGCACTAGTGCGATATAAGAATTCAAAGTGATAGTTATTATGTACTTCATTTTTTTGACTGATTCTAATCAAATTTTCAAAAAAAAGAAGAAAAGATTTTTCCAACATTAATAAATAGCATTATTTGAACTTTAAATAAATCTTAACTTACTACAGAGATTACCGTTTTTTTATAATTACACAACATATAAATGGTTTTAGTGGTTACCGTAGAATGTTACATAACTGTAATGGGTTTTGATTGAGATCATGAACCGATTGATGTTAGACCACCATTGAAAAACTGGAAGCGCTGGACGGTCGTTCCGTCCTATTGTGGGACTCCTCATCATTGCGCATCCACGATCCCGCTCGTGGGATTCGAACCCAGGGCCTTCAATCTCGCGCGCGAACGCTTAACTTACTGGACCACTGAGCCGGTATTCAATGGTGTTAATGTCTAACTTCAACCAATCCACGAAATTGCGCAACCATCTTCCATTGTACTGAGGTAGACACCTGTTTCTACCCGACACGGATTAGCTCCACTGGTGACGGCTTCTCACCAGAACTAACATCAATCGGTTAATGATCTCAATCAAAACTTAGCATTCTCCACAACCCCTATACTTTAATGAGTGTGTAGCAAGCCCTTTTGGCTACTGTATCATTTGTCTAGTCATTGTAACTCAGACTCAATTCACTATGTTAATTTCGGTGTGTATGATCGAATGCATGTCTGTACATTAACTCTTAAGCTATTCTCCTATTGGTTGCAATGTGCAGATAATCGATAATTTATCCACACCCGATTAACTCTCAAATATATATGGATTTTTAACTCACTCACACACACTCTCTCTGTTTCATCGTGTGCTTGCTCATCGTGCGCTTGTGGATTATTATTATTCATTAACAATAAACTATCTCTATAACTGGTGTTCAGGCTTTTTAATAATCTCGAGTAAATTCGCAATTCTACTAGGAGATTAAGCCTAGCTAAAATACTCAGTTACGGGATATTATTATTTGGAGTCAGATATTGAGGACATTATCCATAACATATTGGTGAACCGCTTTTAGAACACACACCATTCCTCTACGAATTCTGCTGCATACTCTCCAAGCGTATCTTAAAGAACTTCACATTGGAATTACTATTACAATTATTAACAATTCATTAACAGTCATAATAAATCCATCCATAGCATTGTTCCTTTGGAATTATTGCTGTATATTCGCATATTTAAACCAAAAGTGACAGTTTTTCTTTTCGGTGAGTCTTATATATATTTCTTGTTGTTATTTTTGATTTCTCTTCATATTGTATATTACAATCCTCGGCTTATTATTACTATTGCTTCTTCGTATCATGGCACTTGATAATTCGCTAAGCCTTTCATCTAAATCTATTTCCGTGGGTGCCATCTCTGTACCTTTACCTACTTTTAATTCACGAAAGGCTGAACTCTGGTTCGCTCGTTTAGAAAGCTTTTTTGTAGCAAACAAAATCACAAACCAGAGTACGAAATTTAGTTATGCAAATTCACTGCTGCCAGATGACGTCATTGAACAAGTGCCGGATGTCATTTTTAAGCCGGATCCTGACTCACCATTCGATTGTCTAAAAAGAGAGGTCATTCGTGTCACATCTCTCACTGACCAACAGACAATCGATCAACTTTTAGCCAACGTCGAGCTAGGTGACAATACACCGTCACAGTTAAAACGCCACATGACAAACTTATTAGGAAGTCGTACAGTAGACAAACGTCTACTATATCAATTGTGGCTCAGACGTCTTCCTCAAAACATTCAACAGATACTAGCAATGGGAGACGAAGACGTTGATTTTGATAGGCTAGCAGACATAGCCGACAGAATTTACGAACGGTCCAAGACTCACCTTGTATCTCAAATCCAATCAAGTTCAGCTGACGAGATCGCCGAGTTACGACGATCAGTTGATATCCTTACGAAACAGATAGCTCACATCCAATTATTGAATGCCTCCCACAGCAAGCGTAGAAGAACATCCACAAGCCGTAGACGACGTAGTCCAAGCACTACTAGACACAACATTTGCTGGTACCATAGAACATATGGCAAACAAGCTAGAAAATGTATTCCGCCTTGTAACTTTGCAAGCACACAGAAAAAGGGACGTCAAGACCGCAGGTTAATGACGACTGCACTCACTGACCACAAACTTCAAGACAGTCGTCTATTATATGTTACAGACAAAAGAACCGGCACACAGTTTTTAGTCGACACTGGGGCAGAGGTTAGTGTAGTACCACCTACTGCACTCGAGAAAAACACACCTGACCCCAAACTAAAATTACAAGCTGCAAACAGGTCTGACATCAAGACGTACGGCAAAAGGCGGTTGCAATTAAATTTCGGTCCTAAATCTAATTTTTCCTGGAGTTTCATCATAGCGGACGTCCTCGTTCCTATAATCGGCATTGATTTTCTGCAATTCCACAAAATACTGGTAGACGTCAGAAATAGGAAACTTGTCCTTGCCGAACAAAGTAAAGAAATTAGAGGAATTATATCAAATGAGACTTCCATACATTTATTAGTTAAACCTCATCAAGAGAACGACAAATACGTCAATTTACTTAATCAGTTTCCAGATTTATTACGACCGAGTTTCAAACACGACAAACCGACGCATACCGTCGTACACCACATAAAGACAGAGGGTCCACCAGTGTTCGCACGTCCAAGACGCCTTGATCCCTCTCGTCTGGCTATCGCAAAGAACGAATTCAACAAAATGATTGAGTTGGGCATCATACGCCCCTCCGATAGTCCGTGGGCATCACCGCTTCATATGGTACCTAAGAAAAACTCTTCCGAAGTTAGACCGTGCGGTGACTATAGAGCTCTCAACAGCCGGACCGTACCAGATAGATATCCTCTCCCACATCTGCATGACTTCACTCATAGCCTATCTGACGTGTCGATCTTTTCAAAAGTTGATCTCGTCCGTGCTTACCATCACATTCCAATTCATCCGGACGATGTTCCTAAAACAGCCATTACTACCCCCTTTGGACTATACGAATTCGTCCGCATGCCTTTCGGATTAAGGAATGCTGCACAAAGTTTCCAGCGTTTTATCGACCAAGTGGTACGGGGCTTACCGTTTGTGTATGCTTACATAGATGACCTACTTATAGCAAGCAAAGATGAAAATGAACATCTAACGCATTTGAAAATGCTTTTTGAGAAGCTAAACGAGTATGGGTTAGCGGTCAATCCTGACAAATGTGAGTTCGGAAAACAATCCCTCACCTTTTTAGGTCACGTACTTGATAAGCAAGGCATTAAACCAGTTCCTGAGGAAACACAAGCTATCAAAAATTATCCTTTGCCTGATTCATTCAAGAAACTACGACGTTTCCTTGGGATGATCAACTTTTACAGACGTTTTATCCCTAAATGTGCAGACTTAGCAAAACCACTAACTGATTTATTAAGGGGACGAGCTAAATCATTAGCAATGACACCGCAAGCAATTCAAGCATTTGATCAGTTGAAAAGCGCTTTAAGCACAGAGGCATTACTCGCACGACGAAAGGTTGATGCACCTTTAGCAATAATGACCGACGCTTCTAACGTAGCAGTAGGTGCTGTACTTCAGCAACGTGTCAATGAACAATGGCAACCCCTTGCATTTTTCTCAAAAAAGCTCAACGCAACGCAAACAAAATATAGCACATTCGGTAGAGAACTGTTAGCTATCTACTTAGCCATCAAACACTTTCGCTATATGTTAGAAGGCAATTCTTTCACGATATATACTGATCACAAACCTCTAACTAAGTCCTTGATGCACAATCATGATAAATACAGTCCGCGCGAAATTCGTCAACTAGAATTCATTTCACAATTTGCAGCTGATATACGCTATATTAAAGGCAATGCAAATGAGGCAGCAGATGCACTATCGAGATTAAATATCAATACCTTCTCGACCCCTGATATAGACTATCAAGAAATGGCAAAGCATCAAAAGCTCGATACGGAGCTACAAAAGCTTTTGCAGTCTAAGGAAACGAAATTATTATTCCAAAACATCCCCATTAACAACAAGGACACCTTAGCTTGTGATACCTCAACAGGTAAAACTCGCCCTTTTGTACCCTTCGGTATGAGACGAAATATTTTTGAGAAATTACACAATATATCTCATCCAGGTATAAAAGCCACTGTAAAGCTTGTCACAGATAGATTTGTATGGCCAAAAATAAACAAAGACGTAAGAAAATGGTCACGGGAATGCGTCCAATGCCAAAAGTCAAAAGTACATAGGCACATCATATCTCCTACCGGAATTTTTCCCGCCGCTAGCGCTAGGTTCGACCATATTCATATCGACATTGTTGGGCCGTTACCGATTTCTAATGGTTACACGCATATACTAACATGTATAGATAGATTTACGAGATGGCCCATAGCTGTTCCGTTAAAAGACACGTCAGCATCAACAGTGGCGAAGAAGCTGGTGAAACACTGGATTACAAACTTCGGTGTCCCTACAACAATTACGACCGACCGTGGAACGCAATTCGAAAGCAAACTATTTCAGCAACTTACAGATACTTTCGGTATAAAGAGAATTAGAACCACTGCTTATCATCCGTCTGCTAATGGAATGATAGAGAGATTCCATAGACAGTTAAAAGCCTCTTTGACGGCCGCACGAGGAGATTACAAATGGGATATCAAGCTCCCTTTGATACTATTAGGTATTCGCTCAACCATCAAACAAGACCTCGGTTGTTGTGCTGCTGAGTTGGTTTATGGAACAACATTACGTTTGCCTGGTGAATTTTTTGACCGTGCAACAGATATTCCAGCAGATATAACCAACTACGTACAACAATTAAAACAGCAGATGGAATCCATTAGGTCCGTTAAACCACGAACCCAAAAGGTGAAATCATTCGTACCCAACGAACTAGACAAATGCTCACATGTATTCGTCAGAAATGATAGAGTACGACAGCCGTTACAGACTCCTTACGACGGCCCTTTTAAAATCATCCGAAAGGACACTAAAACGGTTACAGTGGAAAGAGCAGGTAAACATGATACAGTTAGCATCGATAGAGTAAAACCAGCATTTTTAGAGAACACTGAAAAACAGGCAACTGTAAAACCGTCTAAACCCGCAGCAGAGCAAGCACCATTCAAACTACCTGCAACAAGCAACATTTCAAATCAAAATTCAGCAGCAGCACAAACTACAACAAGATCAGGAAGAAGAGTACATTGGCCAGATAGGTATGTAGCAACCACTATATTTATCTAGACCAAATCCTGAGACTACTCTTATAACACATAAAAATCCTACTTTATATTGATTACTATTTTTTTTATTGGCCCCACGGATCACCATTATGCTTACATTTTAACTTTATACAATTCATTAATGTTAAATTTACACTTGTATATACATGATATGAAACGTTTCAACACACAAGCTGTTATTACAATTTTACGCTTACTCATCATATTGAGTTGTACTTTTATTTTAAAAACAGTTCCGTTCTTTATCTCTTTGTCGAACATAGATGTTAATCGAATTTTTTTTTTTTGGTACATAAAAACATCAATGTTCTGGATGGGAGCTTATGTAGCAAGCCCTTTTGGCTACTGTATCATTTGTCTAGTCATTGTAACTCAGACTCAATTCACTATGTTAATTTCGGTGTGTATGATCGAATGCATGTCTGTACATTAACTCTTAAGCTATTCTCCTATTGGTTGCAATGTGCAGATAATCGATAATTTATCCACACCCGATTAACTCTCAAATATATATGGATTTTTAACTCACTCACACACACTCTCTCTGTTTCATCGTGTGCTTGCTCATCGTGCGCTTGTGGATTATTATTATTCATTAACAATAAACTATCTCTATAACTGGTGTTCAGGCTTTTTAATAATCTCGAGTAAATTCGCAATTCTACTAGGAGATTAAGCCTAGCTAAAATACTCAGTTACGGGATATTATTATTTGGAGTCAGATATTGAGGACATTATCCATAACATAGTGTTTGATTTGTTTTCCGTAATTAAAAATCGTGATCGTTTTAATTCGATATTATATCAATTGTTGATCCAGTAGTTTTGAACATAATTTCCATATTATTATTATTATCGTATTTGCATACATTTTGTTGGGTTTGTCAGGTTCATTTACGAAACAGAAGTTCATAATGGAATTGCTGAACTTTTAGAAATTTTGGGCAGGTATGTTTTATCTTTATTTCTTATCCATGATATGTTGTTATCTAAGGTTTATAGACCATCGAATCACTAACGAGTAATCTGTATACTATGATGTAAACATCTGTATTTTTCTTGAAAGGGGGGGGAAGAATTTATATTTGTTTACGAATGTATTTATTTCTAATAATATAGTATTGAAATACTTTTATTCGTGATCTTGATTTCTCCACATATCGAATCGATACTAACATTTAAAGTACTCATCCAAGATTTGGAAGAGCCTATCGTAGTATCTACTTTGTGGGTTAAAACTTTGGAAATAGTCGAGTGTTTCGTTCATTCGAGTATTTGTGTGACTTCATGTGGTGTGGTATCTTGACAAATAAAAGCAATGTAAATATAATAGTAATATAACAATAGCATTACTCATATCAATTTCCAACACCGTATTGATAATACTGATGTCCTATTGTAATGAACGCCCCAAATGCCGTGGTACGGCTGAGAGTTGGGAGAATCCGCTCTCCCTCTCCAAATGCTCTCACATGGCCACACGTATATAGCCTCTGTCAGAGAAGTCCTATTCACTGCCCTCTCACACCAGGAGTGTTGTTTACGAAAATGAGAGGACGAAAAGCGAATGTCCGGCGCTTTAACCGGATTCCAAATCAATGGTGCACATGGGCTCCAGTATCGTGCGGGAACAAATGGCGTATGAACCAATCATTGGTCACCGGCATCCATGGGACTGCATCTCCTTACGATGCTCCACTGTCTTGTGGATCAGACCCTCAGGTCGAAGGCTCGGGGTGTGGCCCCCTACGAAAACCACCTGCCTCGGTTTGGGCACCCGGGCAGTATCACAGCCCTCACACATATCGAATGAGATTTGTGTGGCGCATGTGTATTTGGTGCCTCCTTGCACCAATATCTATGTGTTAAAATAAATAAATAATAATAAATTGTAATGAACGAATATATAGGCGGGGACAATTGAATGTGTTTTAATACAAAATTACAGCATGTCTCGGTAAAATATGAAAACCACACACCAAATACTTCATTTGCAAGTTTCTATCATTTATCTTTCACATTCTGTATGATTTTTCTGATTCGCAGTTTATTTCTAATTCCGTTCGTGTTTTCTTGAAGTCGACCTTCATAGCCTTCTGCTACCAGGGTTTCCACTTCCTATTAGACTACATGCTACTTATGTCAACATAAGTAGCATACATCACACTATGATAATCAACTCTAACAGTACTCATAATTGAGGCTGATGATTTTCAGATTCAGATCCTACTACTGAATAATCACAAATTTCACATCTTTAAGGTTAATACGAATAAATAACTTTACTGAAATTTGATCAGTGCTATATATTCAAGAATCAATTTATCAGATACTTGTTTCGAAATTATCCACAAAATAATGCAAGAAGCTTTTTAAACAAAGATGGATAGCGGCTAGCAGTGGAATCCAGGACGTGCATTTCATCCTATTTGGGACTCGTTAGCTGGATGTACCTCCACCCAAGAGTTGATATTCACTCCAGGACTCGAACCCAGTACTGTTCGCTTCAAACGCCATCACGTTATCCACTTAGCTATTGAGTCCTGATAGCTTTAATACTGTTTTCTTCTCTTTCTTTTTCTTCTTCATATTATATCATATTTCTATAATCGATCAAGTTATCATAATTATTTCCATAGTTATAAAGTTCCCTCTTATCATAACAACTAATATTATTTACAAATTAATTTGTTATTAAGCCGATCATATCACAAGATACTATTCTATGTCTAGATCGGTTAAAGAAATATTTTTGATTATGATAGTAAACGGTCTAGTTTTCTTGTTATTTCTGTATTGTATTATTCTTATTCATAATTGTAAGATTGAACATTTGTGTAAGTTAAATTAAAACAAAACAAAAACTATATATCTACATATAAATATTGTTACAAAGAGGCACCCAATAGATATGCGCCACACAAACTATTCGATTTGTGTAAGGGCTGGGATACTGCCCGGGTGCCCCCAGACCGAAGCAGATGGTTTTCTTAGAGGGCCACACCGGGAGCCTTCTACCTAAAGATCTAATCTCATGCTAGCCAGTAACCAACAATAGGTTCATACGCTATTTGTTCCTTCAGGATACGGGAGCCAGCCCATATGCACCATTGGTTTGGAATCAGGGTTTCTCAACTTCCCTAGATGGACTCACCGTGTCCACCGACCTGGTTAAAGTATCGGACATTCACTTTTCTATCTCTCAATTTCGTAAACAATACTAATTCCGCTAGACGGCAGTGAGTAGGACTTCCATGGCATTGGTTGCATCCATGTGTCCATGTGAGAGCATTTGGAGAGGAGAGCGGACTCTCTCCACTCTCGGGCATTTGGGGGCTTAATTTTTAAGCTTTATCAACATTGGATATAGTGCCAATGTTTCAGTATGATGTAAGTTTCAAAAAATATTTTGTCAACATCATAAATTTATACTCTTTAGCCTAGTACTCTTATGTTTAACTACAACAGTACTCACTTGGTTGTTCCGTAATTTTCTCTTATCTACATTCTATTCTACTGTTGTTGTTTTTTTGTTTTTCTTTTTGGTATATAGTATCATTAATGGATTTGCATTACCATTAAAAGAAGAACATAAGATATTTTTAATGCGTGTATTACTTCCATTGCATAAAGTGAAATCAGTTAGTATATATCATGCACAATTAGCTTATTGTGTAATACAATTTTTAGAAAAAGATCCAACACTTACTCAACAGGTTAGTTAATTTATATTCAATTCAATTATGTATCACTTTAAATGATTTATGATCTAGCAAATGAGTATGATAATATATATATAGACAGAGAGAGGGATACACATCAATTAGAATTATTTTTAACATACAATATTGTACCCATTGGGTAATTCTTTGTTTTGTTTTGTTTTAAAACTGGATCATTAACTGGAACTAATCTATAGCCTGTTATTCTTATACATTCAAATAAGTTATCAACGATCACAAGGAATGAATAACAATGTGTTTGATCCAAGATAATAAAAGATAGTGATAGAAATTTTATATAAGGAAATAAGACATTTTAAAAGCAGCCAATTTTTGTAATTTATCACACTCTGTAATATTCATATAATTATCATTTCCCGGTTGCCCACACCGTGGAAGGGTTCTTTTGGAGGTACCTGAAAAGGAAATCGGATTAAAGGTGGTTTTAATGACCTGAGAGTGTGACCGCCGTACCCAAGGGACAACTGCATAAGGTCGGTCACATACGACCTTTTTGTGAGGAATTTTCATGTTAGCTCCGTATTTATTGAAACCTTTCCTCTGAAGACAGATATCCATAGGATAAGATGAGGTGTGTATCTTTAAGGTCGACTTTTACTAACCCCACCCTTTTTTGGGAAGGCATCATCGCTGCTATGCTGGTTGTCTTAAGGAAACACCTTAATGCCGTCACACGTCTGTACAGTCAGCAGTACAACGACATCCTCAGACCTTGGATTTGCTGCTTTTAATCTTATCGCTCTTTAACCGACCTATCGGACATGGTAGGATCTTGAAGAACGATTGTTCTAGCCAGTATAGCTCGATCGCTTCATCACGACAAGCAAACCAACCACCACTTCAATTTAGCAGCAGCAGTTGGGAATATACATACACTATAATGAAATCGATTGGTTTATGTTAAGACATCTAATTACTTAACAATAAGTGTTTTTTTCTTTGTAGATGCATATTATCGGTGTTTGTCGTTCAGATTTCTTTAGTCTTGAATAAAATAGAGATTTTGTCGTTTAGTTTTTCGGACATAAGAGTTTGTAATTGACGTTCATTATGGCCCTATACTATTTTATTATTTTCTTTCTATCGTGATGTCATTAATTGTTGCTTTGACGCTTCAAATATCATTCACACGCATCATATATTTGACAAAGTTATCATGAATCAAAATATGTCTAAATAATTTAAAAAAATATATTTGTAATATCTCAATGAGTAGAAAATTAGATTTTCTGACGTTTCGTGACTTGATGTAAGTCACTTCTTCAGAGAATAAATAAATACTTCGTTTTCCGAATATAACGTCACATCCGCTGCATGTTTTGCCTACCTATTTATTATTTATGTATTTAAACACATAAACATTGGTACAAGAAGGCATCAAATAGATATACTTCACACAAATCATTCGATTTCTAAAGGGTTGGGCGCCCAAACCGGAGCAAGCGGTTTTCTTACGGGTCACTCCACAAGCCTTTGACATAGAGGTCTAATCCACAAGACAGTGGAGCAAAGTTAGTAGATGCAGTCCCATAATAGCCGGTCAAAAACAACAAGTTCATACGCCATTTGTTCCTTCAGGATTCTGGAGTTAGCCCGTGTGGAATCAAGGTTTCCAACTCCCCTAGATACACCCTTCTTGTCCACCAACTGGTTTAAAGTGTCGGACGTTCGTTTTCCGTTCTCTCAATTCGTAAACAGCAATAATCTCTCGAGAAGGCAGTAAACAGAAGTTCCGTGACATTGGTTGTATGGATGTGGCCATTTGTAGAGTAAGAGCTGACTCTCCCCATTTCTGACTGTACCAAAACATTTCAGTGCAATACAGTAATCAGTTTAGCAGATGAAGCTATATCTCTCTCAAATTCATATTAAAGAATATATTTTCCTATGTTTATCACTTGTATATTTACCATTTCATCCTCTATAAATTTCTATTTCTTTCCTTTAAAAATAATATTTAGGTTGTTCTTAGTTTATTAAAATTTTGGCCAAAAACTCACAGTCCTAAAGAAGTGATGTTTTTAAATGAATTAGAAGAAATTCTTGATGTTGTTGATCCATCAGAATTTCGAAAAATTATTCGACCACTTTTTACACAATTAGCTAAATGTGTATCATCTCCTCATTTTCAAGTGAGTTAAAAATCATTATTATTATTATTATTATTAGTTATATAATATACCCTTATGGGCCAGGTTAGTTTTACATTGGTTTTCAGGAGAACCGGAGATCATCCAAACTTTCACGTGACAACTTATATAGTACAGCTCAATCCTGGTTCCAGGAGAACCAGGTACCATCCAGGCTGAAATTTTATAACCTGAGCAATACAGCTCAATCCTGCCTCGCAGGGGAACCAGATACCGCATAGGCTTTAACGCTACAATTTGAATAGTATAGCTCAATCCTGTGGCGCAACCACAAAGGTACCAAGCACCCTGATAGACCATCTACTACTACTATTATAGTTTCTGTGTTTATGAAATGTGAATTAGATTGTTCAATAGTTGCTATGTGTAATTAATTGATCATTTTTCAATATTCCTTTAAAACAAAAGCTTTTCTTGTTCAGTTGGTTATCAATAATATTATAAAAATCAATGAGAATACAAAATGAGTCAATCGAATATATTTAAGTATTAATTTACATAATCTCTTGGTAAGATATAACAAACATACATTGAATACTTTATTGGCGAAATTCCATCATTTATCTTTCAAATTCTTTATCGTTCAGTCAGTCAGTAACAACATAGAACTTCGTACGTACGTACGTACATCATTTCGAGTTGACATACCACATTAGCTCAAAGTTTCAGTTGTCGATTCAAATCTCATAATGGTGGTAGAGGTAGTAAAAGTATAAGTAGTAATCGGAAAGATTATGGTTTGTAGATGTTATTCAAGGGGTATAATCCAGTGAAATAAATTTGGAAAGAGGAAAAAAGAAGGAGCATGAAGAATTCAGAAGATTAGAATTTGGGAGAACATAAAGAGTGAATGCACCTGCGCCATTGCAAATTCTGTATGATTCTTTTGATTCATTAATTATTTCTCTTCCTGTTTTTCTTCAAGTCAACCTTCATAGCCTTTTGCTGCCATGCATTCCTCTTCTGATTGATGTTACATACTACTTATATCTGTCGATAGACATAAGTAGCATACAACTCATATTCGGTTAACAATTGTTACGTTTATATATACAAGTATAAAGTATTCGTCAATTTATTAATTCTGAGTTAGATAAGATTGATCATATTTATAACTTATGCCATCAAATCAAGATGTGACATTAGTCTATTATGTTAGTTACTGTTTATTTGAGCCTTGATTTCAATTAGTATAAATTGTCTAGTTGCTCTCTCACTCAAGTTGTATTCAGTATGTAGGATCCATTGTGATATATCTCAAAGACAACCAGAAATAGCACAGATACTTTCATTATTTTATCTTCTTTACAGATTCCGAATTCAAATATTATTGTTTGCTATTCACTTCAGTATTTCATTCTAATATATTCACTATTCCTCGTGTTTATTTCATCTGAACATACTAATGTAGTACACTTAATTGGGTGTGTGTGTCTGTATGGTTCATAACTGAATATTATTCTTTTTAAAACCCTATAGTTAGTTACAACGAGTGAGACTATAATTTGTGGACAACCTTTAAGCGACGCTAGACTAACCTTGAGAATGTCCATCTAATGACTAAGACTAAATGAGGGTTATAAACCAGTGTGAGGAATTAGAATTATGATTTACAGTTGACGATTAGGATTAGGAATTACATTTCGGGCTTTCATCACGAACTGACATCAGCTATAATGTCATGAATCTATTTAGTCAAATGGATGAGTGAATTTCCCGCCAATATCCGGGACCTGTTATCTTACACCTGATTGGTTCGTCCATAAATTATAGTCTCGCTGTTTATAATTAACATACGATAATTTAAGAGTGGTAGAACAGATATAACATTGGTTAATCAGTGAAATGATAGCTTATAATAACAGCATTATAACATAATATCAGAAGGGGTTTGGTGGATATTATAGTATTTTTAGTAGTTGAATTCACGAGTCAATTAAAGCTAGATCACCATGAAAAACCTAAAAGCACTGGATGGCCGTTTCGTCCTACTGTGAGCCTTCTCAGCACTGCACGTCCGGACTTATCCGTCTCGCACTGAGCCGGCATCCAACGCTGTTCACGACATTGAACGACATATCCATTTATCAATCATAAGCATTGTGTATAAACCTGACAGAGTTATCTTTTAGTATATTTGTTTCCATTACATATCTGAACATTAAGATAATGAGGAAAGAAGTTGTTGTTGTAATGTTCAATTTCCAAATATATAATCAATAATGGATGGAAATCAATATTGATTTATAATGAATATATATGATCAACTTTCATTACATTACATTTATGAATGTCCAATTGATTTTTTTTAAAACTATGATCTATATATAATGACAATTACTCAGTTCATAAATCCTAATGATTGTAATCCGATACATAATGAATTAATAACTTAAATATACTTTTAATTCTATTATAAAAGTTGGATATATTACTCAAGTTAGTTGATCAGAAAAGCGGAGGATTGAAGTGATCTCATCGACTTAACTGATATCGAAATTGTCAAATATTGAATCAGTACGGGAATAAATCAAGTTTTAGCAAGGATAATAGGATTGTGTGGCAGAAAATTTAGTGTGGGTTACTTATATCTATATAAGTAGTATATAACAGTGGTCAGGCATAGAATGTATTTCAGTAAAAGGTCGATGAGGAAAGAACAGAAACGGAACTCATGAACAATGAAATCTGAGACATTGGATTGATGTTTGCAACAAGAATAGTCAAGTTTGAGATGATGGATTGATATTTTACAAATTAACGATTTACTATATGGTTCTCAAATTTTAGTGAGATGCTCTGTCATTTTGTACTCGAATATATTCGTTTGTCCTACTCGTGTTCATGTTCATCACAAAAAGAAGAACGATAAGTGTCTATAAAGGGAATATTAAAGATCAATTTCTATAGCATTTTAAAGTATTTCACAAGAACGTATAAAACACTGTATGCATCTAATCGATTATATCATCCAAAGTTCCTAATGATTGATTAAGATAATCACACAAACCTGAATCAAGTAGTCTTAACCTACTAACATACCTGATTTCATATATTCAAAGGATTTTTCTTTGAGATTTTGTAATTGTCCGTGTAAAATGATAAAATTTGTCATTATGAGAAAAAGAAACACCGTCTATTTCAATATCATTATGATCTTAACAACTGTATTCAAATTTTCAGTATATTTAATTATTACCAACTAGGAAAGTGTAAATGTTGTTCTCCTTCACGTCGTCATCTTTCGAATATTTCTGTTAACTTGGTACATGTTTACATTGACTTACTGCAGAAGTTCTGATATTGATGATCTACCTCACTGGTGTTTTGATGTTGAATTGAAAATATGTTTTTAAACATAAATCGATTAGTTCTAGTAGGCTTTGACTTCTGTGCCTCCTGTACTTTGAGATGAGGAACAGGGATAGAGTGTCGTATACTAAGCTTTGTTCGATTCAGATTATTTTGACAGGTTGATTTTTGAAATCCTGGTTAGTTTTTTTTCGAAAGGAGGTGTTTCTTCTTTGTCCTCTGTGTCATCAGCTTGATGTCTCGATTACCGTTGTCAAGATTGTCATCATCATAATGTGCGGTCTGGAAGATACCTACGTCTCCGATGACATTAAATTCACAATGGAAAAAGCGTTGAACAAAAGACTATCATTCTTGGATGTATCGAACACCAGAACTGGCAAAAGAAAGCAGAAGATTCAAATATATCGGAAGCCAACCTGTATATCTAATTCTCAACTACAGTAGGTAACAACCCAATAACACACAAAATCAACTGCGTACAAACTTTTTTCACGAGGGCTACAACACACTGGAAAACACTTCCAGAATGGAAAAACAAATAACAATATCTAGCGTATATCCACGCAGCTTCATGAAAAAATTTATCACCTCAACTCTTTACCAGAAATTTATTTATTTATTTGAACACATAAATATTGGTACAAAGGGGCAGCGAATATTATGCACCAGACAAATCTCAGTTGATTTGTGTGAGGGCTGTGATACTGCCCGGGTGCCTTAACTAAAGCAGGTGGTTTACTTAGTGGGCCACACCCTGAGCCTCCGACCTAAAGGTCTGATTCACAAGGCAGTGGAGCATCGTAAGGAGATGCAGCCCAATGGTATCCGGTCACCAACGAGTGGTTCATACACCGTTTGTTCCCTCAGGATCTTGAAGTCAGCCCATGTGCACCACTGGTTTTGAATCAGGGTTTTCCAACTTCCCTAGATAGATCCATATCCACCAACCCGATTCGAGCGCCGGACATTGCCATTTTGCCTTCTCAATTTCGTAAATAACACTCCTGGTGCGTGAAGGCATTGAGTAAGAATTCCTTGGCAGAAGCCATGTAAGAGCATTTGGAGAGGAAGAGTTAACTCTTGAACGTACTGCCAGATATTCTAATTCTGACTGGTTATATACTACTCATGTCAATATAAGTATCACACACATACACACCATACTATAACTATCTTTTATCACTATGAAAAGAAAGTTCAGGGAATCTGACACGATTCACTGATATTTGCAAAAGGACACAATTGATATTTTGTAAATGAAGCATTTACTGTATGGTTCTTAGATTTTACTAAGATGCTCTGTAATTTTGTGCGTTCAAATACTTTCGATTGTCCCCTGCTTGTGTTCTCGTTGATTACACTACTACTTCTGTGTGCATCGCGAAATTAGTCAGTGTAAGACGTTGAGATGATGAGTTGTGTAGAGTGTGTTTCATCCTGTCTGTTTGACAGTTGTCGACTCAATGTGTTTGCATCGCACTTTCTGAATAAAGTTCGCACTGGGTTCAGCAATCGGCATACATGACAGTAGTTCGATATAGTGAGATGATGTTGTCTGTGAGTGGGACTAAGTAAGGGACTGTGAACGGTCGGTGTTGTGAATCATCTGTAAAATAGCATTTCTGCATTTTAGTCTCTTCTAAACGTGAAGCTCTTCTTCGCCATAAGTAATCCTTATATAATTCTCAGTTTTCTGTACAAACCTCCACATTATTTCTTTTCATAATCATTCTCAGGGTGATTTTATGTCTTGACAATTCCTGCGGGAAGGGTTGGATTGGAAATTACTATGTTTAATGTTTTTTTGTTAGTTATTGCATTTTTGAGCCTGTAAGTCTAAATTCGTAAAAAGTGCATCATCATCAATCCACCTACTTCTGTGGAGCCATTTGATTCCAATCATTTCTGTTCAGAAAACTTTTCGTGATCGTCGAACAAAAGTAGCCAGTTAGCTACTATTAATTTTTCCAGATAATCTCAATTAACACCGTTAGTTGCCGGCTCTATGGACTAGTGGTTAAGCACTGGCGCGCAAGATTGAAGGTCTTGCGTTTGAAACTCGCAAGGCGGTATCGTGGATTTGCACTATTAAGGAGTCCCACAATAGGACGAAACGGCCATCCAGTGCTTCCAGGTTTTCCATGATGATCTAGCTTAAATTGACTCATGAACTCAACCATTATAATCTCTATTTGTTTAGTAAAGGAAACAACTTCAATCAACTCACTAAATTGTAATATGATAATCAATATTTCAATTTAACTACAAACTTCATACGTTGTCGGTACTTCCTAGTCGATGTGTTAGAACTGTAGTGAAGATGTTTCATTGATTGTTGATTTAATTCTGTGTATTTTCTTCATCAAAAGATTTTATTCCATTTTTATGTTTCATTGATTTATTGTTTCCGTATATATATTTCCTCTTCTCCTATTACATGATTGTCTATTTTGTTTCTTTTATAGGTTGCAGAACGTGCATTATACTTTTGGAGTAATGATTATATCCTTCAATTAATGCATGATCATGTTGAAGAAATTCTACCTATAATGTTTCCTGCTTTATATCGTACAAAAGAACATTGGAATAAGTAAGTGAATTACTCTATTCCTATTAGTAATAATTATTCTTATTTAAAGTAGTATACACTATAAATTTGACATTACTTAAATTACAGTTATAGACCGGAAATTATTGTACAGCTGTGTACATCTACACTTTTTGTTTGTATGATAGCTGGATATTATATATATATAATAATCAGAGAAGGGTTTTTTTTTGACATTATAGTAATTTTTATTAATTGAATTCATGAGTCAATTAAATCTAGACCAACCTGGAAGAACTGGACAGTCGTTTCATCCTATTACGGGACTCCACAGCAGTGCCCATCCATGATCCCATCGAGCGAGATTCGAACCTAGGACCTATCGGTCTCGCGCGTGAAGGCTTAATCATTAGACCACTTAGCCGGCATCCAACGGTGTTTGGTAATGTCTAACTTCAACCAACCCACCAAGTCACGCCACCGTCCCCTACTAGGGCGAAACGCCTGCCCAGTGCTTCCAGGTCTTCCATGGTGGTCAAGCTCATGAATTCAACTATTATATATATATATATATATAAATCATAACCATAGTTACTAGGACGATTAAAGAAAACAAAGACAGTCCGGATTTTTAGTCTAATGTGTTTGATCGCCTCGATTCACTTGTGGAAGCTGATTTACAGTCCTTGAGTGTAGCACAGTTAAAATCGTTGTCCTGTCTTATTGATGAAGAAATAAAAAGAAATACAGCTTAACCATAGTTTCTAATGTAATCTTATTATTAGTTACATTTATCAAGCTTTAACAATACAAAGATCATGAGTATTAGATCAATCAATATACATGCTTTTATCTTGAAATAAGATGATGATTACAGGTAGTTTACAGGAAATCTTGAACCTAGGATCTCAATATAGTGCATGCAATGTCGAGTCACCTATATATAGACTGCTGGCCATATTGCAACTTGGTCGATAGGATTTTATCTGCACTAAGAAGGACCTGATATACATGACATTGATCATCACCCAGTGATCAGTCAATTGTAAATACATCTCAGTCCTACAAAAGGTCATTCGTAGCCCAGATAGCTCAGTGGTAACGTTTATGACTGTGAAGCTGGGTAACACGGCATCGAATCCGTCAGGGAGCATCAGTTTTCTCAACATTACAGGTACATATTGCTGACGAGTGTCAAGTAGCACGAAACCTATGTACAGGGTTTCCTGTTGACTACCTCCAACCACCATCTTATCTCAACATAGTACACGCAATGTGGAGTCACCTAGACTGGTCAATACGATTCGATCTGTACGAAGGAGAACCTGATATACATGACATTGTTCATCACCCAGTGATCAATCAATTGTAAATACATGCTATTGTCATCTATGATATATGTTGTTACTTTTTTTCTCCAGAACAATTCATGGTCTTGTATACAATGCTCTTAAATTATTCATGGAAATGAATCAAAAACTTTTTGATAATTGTACACAACGATATAAAGAAGAGAGACAAAAGTTAGTTATTTCTTCTTTTTTTATTGTACGATAAATAATGACTAAACATGGTTGACTCAGTCAACAAACTATAAGACTCTGTATCTTGATATCATGAGTCTCTTAAACACTATTATACAAAGCTCCATCTGAGATAGTTGGAAAGTACTGTGACTAAACAAATAATGGTCCACATATAATAACAACGGAACAACTGACGTACAAACCTAATTCGGTTATCGACTACCATAGAATCGGATCGCACTCAAACTTAACGTTTCAAGAGTAAGGAGTGATTTGTCGAGTTCCCACTCACTGTACTAACATGGAACGACACGAATTTATCCCAAATCACACTATGAATAATTTACATCTAGATCATAACTTGAGCGTTTCCTTGTCAGATTCTTATGTGATATCAAAGAGAATAACTTTCTTAAACTGTACATGGGCGCGTGTGTTCGGACTGTTTACTATAAGCTGTGTTATATAATTGAAGTATTGAATTATCCACCTAGATTATTTATTATCATGATCATTATTATTAATGGTTTTATATCGGAACACATCGACTCAAAGAAAAAAAACAGTGATATGATGGTTGAGATCAATACTAGACACCTGTTTGTTCAGGAGGCAGTTTTCACACGCTCATTTGCCGATAACCAGAATAGTACACACCAAAGTACAATTTAATTATATATGATTGAGATCGTGCATCATGGAGTAAGAAATTACAGCATTGACAGAATGGCGTCATAAAGTGGACGAGAACTTGAGAAAGCTGTAACATACAATAATAGTTTATTCACTAAACGAAAGATTACAAGTGGAGGAATACAAAGATACAATAACCTGAGTTATTTAGTAGTTGGTTACGATAAAAATATATAATAATTTCTAAAGTTACTTTCCCAATGTTCTTCACATTATAGGAAAATAATAAAAAACAATACGTTAAATAAACAAGGATCTACACAATCCTAATCGAAATGGCACTAGAAACCTATGGATATTTAAATCGCTAACAGAAATATACAAGATAATAAAGTTACCATTATATTCTCAGTAGTCATGTGTGTTTCATAGTGAATTACTCACTTATCAGCACGGGGTTGTGGAGATTATTATGTTCTTGATTGAGATCATGGACTGATTGATTTTAAACCAACATTGAAAACCTGGAAGCACTGGATGGCCGTTTCGTCCTAGTACGGGACTCCTCAGCAGTGCACAACCACGACCCCGCCCTAGGTTCGAATCGCGCGAGCGGGCTTGTGGATGTGCACTGCTGAGGATTCCCGTACCAGGACGAAACGGCCATCCAGTGCTTCCAGGTTTTTTCAATGGTGGTCTAATACCAATTAATTCATGATCTCAATCAATTTACTCACTTATTCAATGTTTGAGCCCGTCTATATGGTGTTTACTTATTTGCGTCAAATGTTACATACTTTTTTATTTTACTTTGATTTGAAGCATTATGCTTCTTTCTATGGTTATAAACCTTCTCATAATTTACGCTTTGGACATTGTCCAGTAATGTTGTAATGCTTTAATGTTGTTAAACATTTTGTTTGTATTTCAGAAGTAGAGAAGAAGCTAAACGTCGGGAACGTGTATGGGCTACATTAAGTGAAACTGCCAAAGGCAATCCATTGTACGCTGTGGTTATGAAAGAAGCATCAGTTTTAAATAGAGAATTGCCAAATTCAGTTGCTCCTAATTCCATTTCATCACCATCTCCCATGGGTGACCATTGTGTAAATAATGGGACTCCATCTACAAGTAACACTGAAAATGACGACGGTCCTCTTGGTGCAGATGAAGACGTTAGCGGTTCATTGATGAATCTTCAACGTGAAGCGGAGGATGATGTATGTAGAATAGAATTTAATGCATTACATTAGATACTACAGAAGATTATACACTGACATTTGATCAGTTTTAAAATTATCTGCAAATCATATTTATTAAGTCTGGTGCACTAATCGGTTGAGCTACTAATTTCCAGACTCCTGTAATATTTGACACTTTAACTGTGCTTGATTTGAGGAAGTGAAACCACCTGAGCACCTCTGGGGCTACTCCCGGTCCCAAGCCCGGGTAAGGAAGGAGGGTTGGGCATAGGGTTAGAGACCCCATCCCGTAGAAAAGCTAACTCTTTAAAAAAACGCTAACCAGAAAGAAATAATTCAAAGCATTTAAACTCTGTCCTAGGAGTTAAAAGGTCTTCATTTAGAAGCGTTATGACGCCTCATAGTGAAAGCCGAGTTCCTTCGGAAGTCACGAGGCTGATGCCTCTTCTGAAAACCAGAGCATCCATTAATTTAGGTGCATGATATGTTCGTACAATGTGGGAGACCGGGAGTGTCTTCCAAATTGCTGCAAAAGTGATACGATACGATCTGGAGTTGCTTGGATACATACATAGACAACAATTGTTATCCATAGTTTATAAATGATCTTGAGATTCGTTTATATGCTTCTAGAAAAATATACTTAAACTAAGAATGAGTTTCATATTTGGTTTCTTAGGTTGAAGGATGAAATTATCATAAAGGCTCTGATTGTGTTAGTTTTAACGACAACAAAATCCGATACTACCGGAAGTATACGTTTAGCTGCAAATCCCCATCACTTCAAAATGTTTGAGGTTTCTATGCAGCTTTAAGATTGATTTATGTGATGCCAATTGACAAGTTAACGTAGATATTTCACGACGATTAGACTTTCCCACAGTTGTAAATAAAATACATTAATTCAACGACTTATTAGATCTAATTATAACTTGTTCACGAAGTACAGATTTCTTTATTCAGCTTCGAGCCACGCTGCATGAGGTCTGGTGATAGTATCTGATTATAAAGGCGTAGTAGATATACGGGATACCGACGTAAAATTTCTCTCCTAATCACTGAATGTTTTTTTACCTAATTTATTTGTCAGTCAGCTACAACGTAGGACCAGGCACATATATGTATCGGTCCAAGTTGCCACACCTTATTAGCACAACAACATGAACACCGCAATCATAGTAGTTAATTCAATAGTAGTAATATATAAAATAAGGATTGCATATAAGGACATAGTATAGGAGGAAAGAATTAGTCCATAGAAAGAAAGATATGAAGCGATTTTAATTTCATAGTGTAAGGGAAGACAAAGAGTGTATACACCGACACCATTGTGATCGATTCTGAGCCATGTCACTCAGAGTCCCAACCATTGGTTACGATAGTCACGCGGACTCTAACCAAGTAGTCTCCATCTATCAATATGGCTCAGATTGAAAGTTAGTGACTTCAAGCACTGATGCCACGTTTAGGTTTGGCCGCCCCTAACTTTCTTCCAACTGTTTATAAAACTCGTTAGCATCGTGTTATTTGTTTTCACCCATACATAACACGTGGCTCAACCATCTTAGTTGACAAAGATACACAACCTCATCTTCTGATTTACCATCATTCCCTGATAAAAAAAAAGTACGAGTAAACATAGATTTATCGCTTATCTAATTTATTTTTCAGACGGAACTTCGTGGTATAATCAATGAACGACGTCGTGATAAACTTCCTATGATTCAACGAAAATCAGAGCTTCCTCATAGTCAAACTACTATACGTGCTCTTGAACAACATCGTCGTCCAGATGAATATTTAAAAACTCAACCTGACAGCTAAGGTTTACAAGAACAACAATGATTTTTTTTCTATAAAAATTATTATTATTGGCTAAGTATCCCGGTCTCAGCAGTTTTTTTTTGGCACACACACACACACTTGTGAATGTAAAAAAAATACAAACATATAGTATAGAGTATATGCTTCAGTTGTTTTTTTCCCCCACAGATATAGCGAACTGTTGAGATGTCAGTTTCTCTGAAACTCTTCAGTGTTAACTTTACCTAGTTAAATCATCAGTTTATCTTGTATTTGTTTCGAAGATGTTCATTGTTATTGTTGTACAATGAATGTTCTTTTCATTGTTTTTGTGTTTACTATGGCCTTTCAACCTTCTTCTTCTTCTTCTTCGTGTTGTTCTAATCATTCGACACATTTGTATTATCTCTTACCCTTTTTCCACCCCCCTCTCTTCCTCACCCACCCCTGTTTTTTTTTGTAACACAAGTATCAACAATAAAGAAAGAAAAGAAGTAAGATTTCACTTTAACTCAGTATTCCAGTTTGTTTTAGTCCTTTTTTTGGTTGATTGGTTGGTTTGTTTTATTTGTTTCGTATATAAAATCAATTCATTGTTTTGTTTAATTAAGACTATATTACTAAGTAGAAATGAGTAATATTTTTAGCTTCCGATAATCTTGAATCGATATTAATGTTTGTTTTGTTTGTTCATTATCGTTTTTTTCCCCTTTATTATTATTTGATTGAACTTGAACTGATCAAGAGTTCATGTATACTTGTGCAAACATTGATAACCTAGTCATAAGTATCAAAATATCTATATATACATGATTTATATTATGACTTTTCATAGAATGTTGTTTCTCAGGTCTCTCTCTTTCTCTCATTTCTCTTTAACATGTATCATTGATTGATTGATTGATTAAAGAGAATGGTAATTATTGTCTGTTCTGAATCTATGTGATCTTGTCTATTTTGTGTTTTTGTGATGAACTTTCAATTTGCCTATTATTATTCTTTAGTATTATTTGATCAATTCTATCTTTAATTCACTATGTGTACCATTTTGTTATTAGATAATAAAAAAAGGTGATATAAATAAATAAATAATAATAGTCTATAAGAATAAATGTGATTGTTGATTATGTGTATTCTAACCTCTTCTTCTTCTTCCTCTTCTTCTTCTTCTTCTTCTTCTTCTTCTTCTTCTTCTTCTTCTTCTTCTTCTTCTTCTTCTTCTTCTTCCTCTTCTTCTTCTTCTTCTTCTTCTTCTTCTTCTTCTATATCATTTTGCTACAGACCAACATTCATTGCATATATTTGTGTAATCATTTGTATTCGAATAACTGATATACAAATATATATATTTACTTACAAAGTTCTTGTGCCATGTTTACTTCAATTTGTAAACAAATAGCTGAGGTTGTTTTACTGTGTAATAACTGTTTAATGATGATGCACTAGGTTGAGTATATTTATTTGGAATATATAAATGTTGATACAAGGAGGCACTTTAAATCGATATACATCACATATAAGTCACTTGATTTGTCCCGACCGTTGTTGCTACCTTGACGTGGTGGTTGGGCTTGCCTATCGTGATGAAGCAACTGAGCTAAACTAGCTGGAACAACCGTTCCTCAAGGTCCTACCATGTCAAACAGGTTGGTTGAAGAGCGGTAAGACTAAAAACAACAAACCCAAGGTCCGAAGGCGAAGTCGTACTACTGACTGTACAGAGGTGTGACAACAGTAAGGTGTTTCTTTCAGACAAGGAGGGGTGGGGTTAGAAAAGGTCGAGCCTAAAAATGCACACCTCACCTTGTCCCACGGATTTCCGTCTCCGGTGGTAAGGTCTCAACAAGTACGGAGCTAACACAAAAATTACCCATAAAAGGTCGTGTGTGACCGACCTCAAGCAATTGTCCCTTGGGCACTGCGGTCACGCTCTCAGGTCACTAAGACCACCTCTAATCCAATTTACTTTTCAGGTACATCCAGAAGAACCCTTCCATGGTGTGGGCAACCGGGAAGTGATAACCGCCCTCATACCTCTAACAGCACTCAAGACCACTATTTGCATAATCAACCACTTGATTTGTGTATGAGCTATGATATTGTTCGAATTCCTAAACCGAAGCAGGTGATTTTCATAAAGAGTCAGTCACATCCGGAGTTTTCGACTTAAAAATGTAATCCACAAGGTAGTGGAACAACGTCAGGAGATACAGTCTCATATTAGCCGATGACTAAACGATTGGTTTATACTTCATTTGTTCCCTCAGGATCCTGGAGCCAGTTCATGTGGATCATTGGTTTAGAATCAGGGTTTTCTAACTCCCTTAGGTGGACTCTCCGTGACCAACCAACTTGGTTGGACCGTTGAATGTTTGCTTTCGTCCTCTCAATTTCGTAAACAACACTCCTGGTGTGAGTAGGACTTCCGTGGCAGTGGTTGTATGCACGTGGTCATGTGAGAGCGTTTCGAGACTAAGGCTGAACTCACCCCATCCTCAGCCATAACAGGGCATTCGGGGGCTGAATTTTCTTAGGAGTTCAAACAGCTATAAAACTCAGTTTTATAAACGCTTAATTACTCGACTTAGTCGTAGCTTCTAAAAAAAGCATTAATCCCACTAATTTATTTCTCGTGGTAGCGTAATTGTAAATTACCTATTTAGGGGGTTTCAATATTTAACTATGAATCATAAAGTTGAAATTGTTCATTTAATGTCGTTGAATAATGTTTATAGCCCATACATAATTGACGGTAACAGTGGGTGCTATTATTATTTTTGAGTATATTATAATTTAAGCGTTCAGTAAGTGACTACTTATGATATTTGAATGTAATCATGGTTAATTTGTACATTATTGTAAGCCTATTTCGATTTACAAAATTTAGTATTTTCAAAGATTCTTCTGTGTTACGTCAGTAAATGCTGATTTATTCATGACTACTAAATTACTCATTAGACAATTCAATAATTTACTAGTTAGTGTACCAAATCCAACTCCAACCATTTGCACTTCTTATAATAACCACATCTACAATGATCTTCCTCTGTTAGTCAGTGTCCAGCAAGCAACTATCATACATTCACAGTAAAACAGTGGTTGGACTTGGTAATTCAATAAACTTTAAAATATTGGATTACAAATTCGAATCTCAACTGTTTTCAGTTTACTTACTTAATTACAGGGATACTGATACTGGGTCTTGTATGTTTACTGAATGAAGAAAGATATACCCACTCTGGAGTTAGAAATATGTAGATTATCGTCATATCTAAAAGATTTCTGTTGTATCCCGATAAGAATAATGAATGGTAATTTTTAGGATCCATTTATGAACCAATACTATACGTATATTTTTATCGTATAATTGTTATGTAACTAAACTGCTCATATTCATGGCCCTCTTATTATGAGCTTTATTTTGACCTATGAACTATTATTACACGTCTTACCATTCATGAATTATTCCCTGTCTGTTAATCGCTACCTCCCTCATTCACAGCCACATCTGGCTAATTCTTGTACAAATGTTGTTTCATATTTTATTGGTACGTTGTGATCGGTTTGTTTGGTATATAAACTCAGTAAGTTTGAAATATAAGGATTTATATTGCAGAGGCTGAGATTTGCGTTCTGGACTAAACTGGCTGGGCTAGACAGGGAAACAGGACCAATCAGGACTCTAGGTTGTTCTCACGCGTTTATGCGTCTTTGGTCCGATCGATAATTCGCTGCGCTCTAATCTGCAGTCCACACGTTATAACAATTTCCTTATTTAAACACAAACATTATTACAAGGAGTCAGCAAGTATATATGCACTACATAAACCAATCAGTTTGTGTGAAGGCTAGTATACTGGCTAGGGGCCCAAACCGAAGCAGGTTATGTGAAAGATTGATCCACTAAATAATAGTCAATCTTATATGCTTTATGTGCATAAATTATAGTTTCTATGGTCTGGTTCTTTAGTACTGGTCGAGAATTGTATATCTGGGTGCCACGTGATCCAAGTTGCCCAGTATAGTATCAACTATCATGCCCATACACAAGATACCTATTTTTCCATCATTATTTCAGATCAATTACTCATACAATACATAATCTTGCTGAAAATGAATATTTGAAATGGATAATTCAATGGATACTTTTTATTATTCACTGTCATATTCTTCATTGTTTGTTACTTGTGCATGATTTTGTATTTGCTTTAATAGCTAAGTTGAAGGCGCAACATTATTGTCTATCTAAATCACTTGAATACGTTTTGCTTTTAATCTATTGAGAATCTCAATGTAGATGGAAAGTAAATAGATTCATGTGACATATATTTTGAAATTTTCTCAACTTTAGATCTTGGTTTGCATGTGAATCACAATCAGGAAGCCTCATTTCAACAGTTAAGGTTTATGAACTGGCAAATATTGTGGAAGCCTTCCAGTATACGAAAGGTATAGATGGCTGTAAAAAATGCAATGCTCTGAAATATGTTAGCAGAGGCAAAATGTTTGTATGAATTCCACCACTCAACAAAACTAGTACTCTTTCGTTGTTACCTAAGACAGATAAAAAATTCTATATTCCCTTTCTTTTTTCTTTTTCCAAATTTATTTCACTGGATTATACTCCTTGAATAACATCTTCAAACCCTAATTTTTCTTATTACAGCTTAGAATTTTACTACAGCTAGCACTACGGGATTTGAATCAACCACCACATCTCTGTGCTAATGTGGTGTGGCAACTCAAACTGATGTACGTACGTACGAAGTTCTACGTTGTTACTGACTGACTGACTTAGTATTTTCATCAAACAGAATTGTCATTTGAAAACTGTAACTCTCTTATAAAGGATCTATCCCAGAAAAACTAACCAATATGTTATAGTTATCAACATCAAGGTTGGACTCGGTAGTTTCAAATAAATTGAGCATCGAGTAGAAAGTTAATAATGTATTTTTAAGATAATGCTATTTTAACTTGTGATAATTTAATTCGGTTGTTTAATTACTCTGAAGAAGTGA